CCCGGGACCCCTTGCTTACAGGGCGAGTGCTCTTACCTACTGAGCTACCCGGCCGGTTCTACCTGCCCCTGGCACTACACTCCTCCCCCCCAAATGCCGAAAGATGCGAGCCCTATCTCGCAACACCGCTGCCACCATTGTAGCGATTTGGGGTTAGTGCAGAAAAATCACCGACCAGACCAGGAATCAAACCAGGGACCCCTCGCTTACAGGGCGAGTGCTCTTACCTACTGAGCTACCCGGCCGGTTCTACCTGCCCCTGGCACTACAGTGCCATTTTTATAATCTCTATTAACATAAGTTTTGGGATCAAATTCTAATGCATACACACATATACCATAATGCTTTTGATGAGACATTATATCAGACTGTACCCTGTATTTTCTCATAATTCATGTGTTTGTTCACCAAAATTTAAATACAACTTCACTTTGATTATATCACATGCCCATGTATTACTTAATTTGCATTAAAAAATCCCACATGTAGATTCAAAATCTTTTGCTGTACTAGTACAGTACATTTATGTTCATGCTCAGTTGCTTTACATATTCTGTAAAAAATTCCAAGTATTGGTGGCAATATGTAGGGGTTAAAATACTAGTACATGTAAGTTAGCCAACTTTTGACTTCTTAAATACATGTTGTTGCAAACACGATGCAACTAAAAATTTTAAAACATGAATATATTTTTAATTTTGAATAGCTCAAAAAATTTTTATGATTTATTCACAATTGGACTATTGTGACTATCCGTGTATCCACCCAACATTATACTAGTGTACTGTACATTGTACATGTAGTGAACACGGTCCCAGTACCAATGCATGTACAAGTACATCGTCAGTACACCTACATGTACATATGCACTGTACGGTACATGTACCATTACTGTGGCGGTACAGTAGCTTATTCAGTGACAACTCGGGCATAGTGAATAATGCAATATCTACGTAACAAAAGTGACTTTTGAGGGGTTCAAGTACAATAAGCTCGGATTTTCTATCGATAATCAATCTTTCGCCCATAGATATGCGTGCCTTCACGTAACATTAGCAGATCCTGCAAGTTCAACATGCCTCTAACATGTGCACGAAACTTACCGTGTTATAACTCTCGATAGCTTTTCTGTATTCTCCCTGTTTGTATAAATTGTCACCTTCCGCTTTGTACGTCTCATATGTCCCTTTGGGCCCACCTTCTGAGTTCTGGTCGTCATACATTTTGAGATTGCGTGCTATAAATGTATTGATTGACTGTATTAGCTACTAAGTGAATTACAAAAATGGCGGAATAATGTTTACGGTAACTTGGTAACTAGGGCCAGAACGAGGCTAGAACTATGGCGCTACAATCGCATTATTCCAAGACGGCCCAGGGCATAAACAAACAGCTACATTCTCGTCTCTCCATTTCCATTAGATTAACTGCATCAAATGGGATTACAATAGGATTGTCAAAATTAAATATATAGAAATATAAATAAAAATTATATGACCTTACTTTATAACTATAACGTTACTGAATGACATTTTTTGGAAAGATACATGTACAGTTACGGCGGCACTTTCAGAGGAAAACGTCTTGCAAGCTGTAGCCTGTAAATGTACAGGTACGGTGCACGTACAGCATGTACATATGCTAGACATTTGCTCTTGAGTTGCTTGGGTATGTGTGTCGATCAGCCTAAGTAAGACCTGCTGGTATACACCTAAATCTACTAGTACTATTACCGGTACATGTACAAGTTAATCAGCAATCAGCCTAACCTCTCTTGTCCGTGTCTTGTGTCTTACAAATATACACATGTATGTGTTGCGTGTGTTTCGGGGCCCGCGGTGAAGGGCTCCGAAAATTTTTGGCATTTTAGAGGGTGAACGGTGCCATTTGGTACGGTTTAACAATGTAATTCAGCTAGTCAAAATCCTAATTTCAAGAGTGGACCATTGGTGGGATTTTTTTTTTTAGAAAATCGAAGGAGGGATGGGGGTGGGCCAGGACCCCCATGACACCTCCCTAAATCCGCCACTGTCATTAGTTGCTTTATGTAGAGCATGCATTCTGTAAGAATAATGTGCCCTGTATCTTCCAGCTTTAGTTTTACGATGGAAAATCTTCTTATCCCCAGTAATCGGCCGATTATCTAAGGTCCATTTAGTTAATAATTGGCATTATAATGTTAGTATGTGCAATATCTTATACAAGAATTTATCTTTAACCGCCTTGAGAGGAAGGAGAAAATGTCTTTAGAATGCGGTCGATTCCCAGTTTTAGGATACGTTATTGTTGTTCTTGTAACAGGTAAGACTGTAGCAAATTCTTACGACTTGTGTCTGATCAAATATATTACAGGTATGTCGTTTATCAAAATAAGTACTTCTAAATTGTATGACTTAGAACCTCTCAATTATTTGCAACGCACTTCACTATAGGGAAGACTCAGGATAATTTGTAGCCCATACAACAACGGGCGCATGCTCATTCCCGCGCGATACCGCACATGCACATGCATGTCCATATACATTGTGTGTGCTTACCCGCCATCCTTCTTTAACTGCATGCAATGCAAATAATATTAAATTATTTTTTTCGCGTAATTTTTTCTCTCCTGAAGAACTGTGCTTATATCAGTATTAAAACGTGTTTTTATACAGTTTAAAACTAGTGCCAGAGTATCATGTCTGTCTATCATTGAGCGCACTATATTACCTGTTTTGTTTATTTAAACTCCATGTACAAGCGTACGAAGGGAGTGGAGCGGAGAACTTCTTTGTGTTGGAGTATACAGGGTGCATGACGTACCCTGCGTTTGCCATAAATAGGCATCGTTTGTTGTGTTCAATTATTTAACTATTCATCTAACACAGCCGATTTTGTCTCACAGATCCATTAATTGTAATTTCTGTATTTATAATGGGAAATAATGACCACATGTTATCCACACCCCAGGGTTTTCTGTCCAGCAGCCAATACCCTCTCCAAGTCTCCTGGTAAACTGCACATTCGAAGAGCCGTCTATATGTAACTTCACATACGACAGGAACCACAGTAAAGCCGAATGGCTGAGGCACAGTGGAAACACACCTAGTTCCCAGACCGGACCCAATGGAGATCATACTACGGGAGGTACAGTATGTGAACATAATATTTGTATAAGTAAGACAGTAAAACAAAGGAGGCCGTCCACATACATAATAAAATCTACTCCACACCAGTAGTTCGAGATTCGTTGATTACATACAACATCAGTAGATACAGTGTATTTGCCCCGCAGCTAAGACCTCTTTCCTTTTTGCCAAACTCATACCTGGTATACGATTTTACATATTGACCACGTTATCAAAAGGAAATCCGAACGATTGATAGACTAAATCAAACTATGCGTAAACAAGATTTTATATAATTACCCACCCGTAAGCGGATTTTGTGATGTTGCAAAAAGGCACCCACATTTGTTCACGCTGATAAACGTAATACTGGGAAAGTCTGAAGATTGAATGGTCTTGCAGGATGACCACGTTTTATGGACGGCATGTCTGTTTCCATTCAAAATGTGTATTTTTGCCTTTCAGGCGGGAACTACATGTATATGGAAGCAAGCTATAAAACTAAGGGAGATGAAGCCAGACTTTTATTCCCTACGTTCTTTGGATCAAGACAAGTGCGCTGTGTCAGTTTCTTTTACAGTATGTATAGCGCTGGTTCTAAGGATCTCATGGGAGAACTAAAGTTAGTGGCTATGGACCCAAATGGAAATATGGAAAGAAGACTGTGGTCAGTTGAAGGTAAGCCTCAACTTGCAAAGAATCAAAAAGTTGCATTACAGATGTAGGAAGGACAGTAAAATCGTTACTGATACAGCAAAATAATAAGTGGATATGATAAAAAAAGTACAAAGCGCGGGCAAGGGCGAGCGCACGCATGCACACGCCAATGATGGCGATGACATCCTCCCTCAAACTCTGAAATTAAAAAAAGCAACCTTCTTCCATTTTATTGATCACGGTCATCCATATGAAATTACATGTAGGTGTGTTTGGCTGAATCCATTACAACAAGATGTATCAAGTGGGTCGTGTGAGGGGTAATTTTTGCCAGCAGTCATGCAGCTTGGAAATTATTTTGCAAAAAAAAAAAAAAAAAAAAAAAAAAAATGGATAAGGTGATGCTTTCTTCTATTAATTGTGAACTGGTTTTTCTAAAATAGGAGGCCAAGGGCCGGGGTGGAAAAATGCGACAGTTAAAATCCCCGCTGGGTTCTCTGAGCTTGCGTTTATAGCAGTACGAGGGTCTTCCTACCTTGGAGATATCGCCATTGATGATGTAGTGCTGGAGGAAGGGGAATGTGTAGAAACCATGACAACAGTTAGTTTCACCATGACAACCAATAGTTTTACCGTCAAGAGGCTTTCTGTGGCTTCCACGGTTAACATTACCACGCCTGATGTTCCCACAACGCCAGACCAGGCACTCGCGGGTTTGTTTAATTTTTATAAGGCAATAATATTTAAATACCGTAAAACCAAAAGGTTTGTCTTACATTTGTTGTGAAAATACAATGAAACGTTAAAATTAAAATGGTTTATATATATATATATATATATATATATATATATATATATATATATATATATATATATATATATATATATATATTGAATTTATATATGCCTACGAAATTGTAATTTTAATTTTAAGAAGTTTGATTTCACCGATTTTTTAAAAAAAAAATTGGCAGTCTTCTCCAGGACAAACTTGTCGAAAAGTAGACAAAAATGTGAGTACGGCCTGTGATACGATTAATCAACAAACCGCTTATCTACTGTACGTCAATGTGATAATTGGTACTATGCCGGAGTGTCGTCATTAACTGTCCTTTCGCGAAATATTTTTGCTAAGTAGAGATAAAAAGCGCACATGGACCTACAATGTATTCATGAAACACTGAATCGACCATTGTCGGATTGCATATAATTACACCGGTGCTTTTAACTTCCAGGCTCGACAGTTCTAGCAGTAACACAACAGCCGTCAGAATTTGTGTTGAACTGCACATTTGAAGAGTCCTCCATGTGTAATTTCACGTATGACAGGAACCGCAGTGGGGCAGAATGGATAAGACACAAAGATAAAACACCCAGTAGTAAGACGGGACCAGCGGGTGATCACACTACAGGAGGTACGTACATGTAATGCCCCTATTTCACACAGACCACGTCAATCGTAATCAGTTCGTGATGTTCTTAACAGATTCGTATATATTCGTAGTCAGTTCTTGCAATTCTTGATCGATCACTAACTGATTACGATGCAACCACGAATCCTGAAATTTGTCAATTCCTGGCGATTCGTGGGATTCGTGGTCTGTGTGAAATAGGGGCATAAGATACTGCAGATACATGTATTAAAGGAAATCATTCGTTTTCTTCTGACATGAGTCAAAGAACTTCCCTTTACCGCGTATACTTTAGTACCGAATAATCTCATTTGGGAGAATTAGGTTCACACTAAAATATGCTTTGCCAGCAGTCACATTTGAGATATAAGTACTAGCATACCTATACAAGAAGCTAATACCAATCCAAACACGTTGTTTTATAATGCAACTGATTTAAAGAATGTGTTATGCATAGATACAGAACTTGTTTTTCGTCTGACCGACAATAACTGACATGAATATAAATGTATATGTGCAACCTAATGTGATTGACCTGGAGTTTTATTTTCATACAGCTGGTTATTATGTATACATGGAGGCAAGTAGGATATCGGCTGATTCTGAAGCCTGGCTACTCTTCCCGCCATTGTTGGAGACGATGCATGCTCGCTGTCTACGTTTTTACTATCACATGTATGCTGCTATCGGAGAGCCAACAGCTGTTGGGTTATTGAAGGTGGTTGTCATGAATTCATCTGGGAGCGTTACTCAGACTCTGTGGTCTATGAAGAGTTAGTTTTACTTTTATTACATCAATTATTGTCTAAAGATGCCGTCTTTCAAATATAGAAAGAAGATCAGAATTTTAGTAATCAAAATATTGATATAAAATCATGTTCCATTATTCAATCTGAGATAAGGCGCAAATGTTTTAGAAAACATTAAAAGTTTGTTTCTCTTTTAAATCAATATTTGAATCAAATTGTGCCTGGGCTCATCGAGTGGCATTTTTTTCTGAATGTATTACTGCACGTTTCTAAGAGAGGCATTTATTTTTCAAACAGATAATCAAGGTCCCGCCTGGAAAAATGCCACAGTGGACATACCTGTAGGAGATACTAGTCTGGCATTTGTTGCAAAGCGGGCAGGCACTGTCTTTAGTGACATTGCAGTTGATGATGTGACTATCGAAAATGGGCCTTGCGTTGAACATCTTACTTCAGAGGCAGCTTCTACTACGGAATCTTCATCAGTTGTTTCTACGAATGCCACTCCTACTACTACAGCAAATAAGCCACCCACGACGACTTCACCTTCGTTAACTACGACTACCACGCCTACAACCACTTCTACTACTTCCACAACGTCGCCTACCACTCCGACGACAGCAACAGCCACACCTAGCACTGAGATAACCACTCCGACAACTGTGAAAACCACGCCTACCAAAATCACAACCACTCCATCAACTACGACATCCGCGCCCACCACAACCGTTACAACAACCAGTACAACAACCCGGTCTACCACTACCACAACCACTCCTACGGCTGCGACAACTACGACGTCCATGCCGATCACAACCACAGCTAAACCTACCGATATTACAACCACTTTGATAACTGTAACAACCAAGCAAACAACTAGAACAACCAAACCTGCAAATACGATAACCACAAAGACCACTGCAAAAACCAAGCCTACCGCTGCAACAATCACGTCAACCTCAATGACAACCACGCCAACCACTATAAAAATTAAGCCTACCGCTACCGCAAGCAAGCCTTCCACTACGACAAAAACTTCGCCCACTGTACCAAACACGCCTACCACTACGAAGAAAGCACCTATCACGCCTACGTCTACGACAACCATGTCTACCACTGTAACAACCACGCCAACCACTGAAACAACCACGCCTATCACTACGACAACCACGCCTACCACTGTAACAACCCCGCCAACCACTGTAACAACCACGTCTACCACTACGCCAACCACTGTAACAACCACGCCCACTACTGTAACAACCACGCCTACCACTAAGACAACCACGCCTACCACTGTGGAAACAACTACCACCGCAGCAAACACACAGACGTCTACCAATGTAGTCTTGACTGTAACAAATGTAGGTTCCACGTCAACAATACCGCCGTCTAGTGTTTTAACAATATATACTGCTGCAATAACCACGCCTACTACTGTAATGATCACGCCCCCTGCTGCAGTGACCACGCCTAAGATGAGCAAGACAACGGCCGACCCCAAAGCTGGCGATAGGGAAAAACAGAGAAAGGACAGTGACGATGATAACGCAGGTATAGAGAGAGAGAGAGAGAGAGAGAGAGAGAGAGAGAGATCGTGCCATTGTTAAAAACTAATGTGAAACCAACTTTTTAACAACATTTGCATGCCATGCTGTCTTTACTTAATCACAAAATGACAATCATATGAAATGGCTTACACGCATACTGTTGTTTAGTTCATTGGGTCCTTTATCTAAAATATCTGAAGTTTAACACTATGGTCCATTCCTTTATTTATAAGGATCATATACACAGCTTATAATATTATGTGGAATTGCTATATAGACACTGTAGTATTCACTATGTATCCTGTTGTAGGGAATATGATGCCAATAATCGCCGGATCGGCCGGTGGTGGCGTTGCGGTGCTTCTGACTATACTTATAATTGTTATTCTTATGAGACGGTGAGTAACATCGTTTTGTTGACAATCACATTACCTTGGTTTCTGGTGACTTCTGTGTAAAATCTGTTTTGCATTTACCTTTAAATACATTTTCATTAAGTAGAAGACAACTCAAGGTATCGTATAGGACGTATTGTTGCTGTTATTTGGCAAATGGCTATATTAAATCCTTTTTAATTTTTAAATTTTCATTAAGGATCAGTGTATATTAAGTATTATTGTACCCCTTTTATGCAAAATCGTTAACCCTTACACTTTCATTTAAAGATACGAGGCAATGTTTTATGAAATGTGGACGTTTCTTACAGGCGCAGACAGACTCCGTACACTGATATCAACGAAGCTCCAAGTCCACGGAGTAGCGTGTATGGAACTGGTGTGCTAGAAATAGAAAACCCCACTTATGACGTGGCACCGTTTCCTCAGCCTGATGTCGTCATTCACAGTCATGACGTCACGGATACCCAACGATACATTCAGGACACAAACGGAGAGGCTATTCCACATACCCCTACCACTGAAATTTAGCATTGGCTTAAATCCTTTCAGTTAAGGGGGAAAACATCCAGTGGCCCGTACTGAACAATGTGTGACACTGACTGTTCGCCGGTGCATGTACATTTATATGACATTTGCAGCACTCGGTTTATTATTGGTGAATAATATAACGAAGTAGCATGTGAAATGAGACGGACAATTAATCAAATGAATGGACATTTTGTTAGAACCGATTGTTGTTAAGTGTCGGTGTTTATATTTTTTAAAAGAGTAAGCATGATTTAGTTAAGGGTATTTCGTACAAAAAAGTGTGTGTGCGTGTGTGTGTGCGTGTGTGTGTGTGTGTGTGTGTGTGTGTGTGAGAGAGAGAGAGAGAGAGAGAGAGAGAGAGAGAAGAAAAATTTAGTATCCAGACATTTTGGTTTGGTGTCTAGATTATCCATTTCATATTTCATTATCACGAGACCCAGCGATTCAGATACAACGTTTAAAAAAACATGAAATAAACAATGTCATAATGTTTTTAATATGAACCATTCAGTAGAAAATATACATGTGTTAAATATTCTAAATCCAATTATTTGAAAGAATTGCAAACAGTTAAAAATAAAAATAAAAAAGAATGTACAGTTTTGTACCACAGAAAGACAAATCAAAACAGTCAATGTACCCAGAATCGAGTTTCCATGTTAGCTTGATCAGGTGCAAGGTGGAAATAACCTTGGCGAAACTTCTTAACATACATGTAGACCTGTTTTTTAAATAAATCAATGAGTTTTGTATTACATATTTTTGTGTTTTTTTGTGTTTTTTTGTTTGTGTGTGTGTTTTTTTTTTTTGCATTTTTGAAGGAATGAACGTTCACATTTATCGATTTTTCATTAAAATTTTCTTTTAACGTCATGTTAACAATCAGACCTGCCAGAATAGCGATGCACAGCAACAAGGTGTTAAGGATCGTTCCACGAGTTTACGGAGCCAATTTTTTTTATGGCACATAAAATATATGTAGGAGTCGGTGATCGTTGTATATACATACATACAGTAACTGTATTTAACTGTAAATGAATCTTGTTGCCTCTAAATATGGGGGTGGTTGCAATTAGACATGAAAGGGGCATCAGTTTCGACGTTTTCAAATCAAACAATGTAACTATGTGTACGCTATATTATTGATAAGAGGTACAGTACGAACTTCTCAATATCTCTCCCGTCATCTTGACACATGGGTAAATAGTAAGAGATAGTAAATATAGAAACCTCTTTGACGGAAACTTAGTTGGGGTCGAAAAGTCGCCCGTCATCTTACAAAAGGGAGGTGAATTGTAAATGAAACGTCCTGGCGGCGTTCTTCTAACTTGTGTTTTTATTTTCTGAATTCTTGTTAAAGTTAACATCCCCAGTCCGAAACAAACGCAGGGATGACGGGCAGAGCGGTTCGAAGAATACTTGGTTGTTTGATGACGGCTGTGGGTCTTCTTGGTAAGTGCGTTAAAATTTCATTACTTCATCCTTCTATGCTACATGTAGTACGCTCGTATAGGCCAACCATTAATTTAATAGGCACCAAAGGTAAGTTTGATAAAATTAATTTTTTCCTAATTCAGGCACACTGTATTTGCAGGGGCGATATATTTTTGCATCAGATATAGAATGCCATTTTTGAAACCGTTCATGATCGTAGCCTATACTTTATAGCTTATGAGTCCTGGCCACTCCCGTAAATAGATTTTTCAGTAAATTTTTAAGTAAATCTGCCTCATGGTGGTGACTTGACTATCTACTGTGACTTCTGTACATGCATTACCCACTTTGTTAGAGGCTTCTGCGTTGTTTACCCATTTAATCTGCGAAGCTTATTCATACTTATTCAAAATCACGCACCACCAAGTTCCAAGGTGAAAAATTGAATCCGACCAGAAAACAGTTGTCCAAATACTGTATCCAAACATGTCGTAAAACACCGAGGCATTACCAAAAAAAAAAAAAAAAAATAAATAAATAAATAAATAAATAAAATAAATAAATAAAAAAAAAATAATAATGATAAACTCTGTTTCTTCGCAAACCAGGCCCAACGACTTATGCCTTTAAATCTTTACAAGCGTGTCTATGGAATCGCAAATACTGAACCATTTATTACCAAAATTAAACAAAACAAAACAAAAAAAAAAAAAAAAAACATTCGCATTCTCTGAGACACTCGCAGAATATTTATATCCTAAAGCGTATGACTTTTAGACCTGCAAAGACTTTTATTCCATAGCCTCTAAGAAATTTGAATGTACTTTTTAAAAGAAACTGACGGATTTTAAAAGAAACTGACGGATTTAATATATAGAATTGAACTTTTTAAGTTATTGAACTATTTTAAAGAAATAGTTCCTTTAATCGATGAATTATTTTATGTTTTACTATTGTCATAGTGTTTTTTAGTTGTTTTTATCGCACTTTTATTGTTATTTGCATTTGCTTCTTATTTGGTTTTAATTGTCATCGTGTTGTTTTCACGTATTGGTCATTCCATGATCAACAGGTGCATGTAGGCATTATACTTCTATGGCTGTAATATTGCCAACCACGAGAATTCCATGTTATATTTGATGTCACCAGGTATAAATGTTCTATCATAAATAAACACAGCTGGATTTAATGCAAAATGTGTCAAACATCTTATCTTTCAGGTGCATATATAATTGCTTCCATAGATACAGACACTTCACAATGTTAAAATCTTCCTTTAGGTTTATCATCAGAACAAACGATACAGTCCCCAGTGGAAGTTTTGTTGAACTGCACATTTGAAGAGTCGTCCATATGCAATTTCACGTTTGACGGCAGCCATACTAATCCTAACTGGACACGGCATAGAGGGAGGACGCCAAGTAACAACACAGGACCAAATGGTGATCATACGACGGGAGGTTTGTAAAATATATTTAAGGTGATCGATCATCAGTGCATTCGGTTGATGATAAATAATTATAGTTGTTAGTTATATTACTGGCACACACGTCATTCCTGCATCAACCAAGTTAGCTGGAAACCAAATAATAAATGCAATGTATATATGACCCTATCCATTTTGTTTTCTTTTACACTTTTTTCATTTGCCCTGCAAAGGTAAGGACCAGCGAACGGATATTGTGAAATACGTTTTTCCTTTTTTTGACAGATGGGTATTACATGTACTTGGAGACAAGCGGCTCATTTACAGTTTATTCCGCGCAGTTGCTTTTCCCGTTTACCCAGGAAACGTTTTCACAACGTTGTCTACGTTTCTTTTACCACATGTACGGCTCAACCATCGGTTCTCTGAAAGTGGCATCAGTTAATTCCAGTGGGAGTATTATTTTTACACATTGGTCAAAAACAGGTAGGCAACTTCTGCTCTAAAAGCACAAAGAAAATAAACGTGGCACTCACTGAAAGTCGAATAAAGTAGCTTGATTGTACATGTGTGATTTTCTGTTATCTTAAATCGACGAAGACAGACGAACAGCAATGCCTATTTCTGCCGAAACTTAATAGGGTCAGTTACGAATTGGGTAGTTCCTTTTTTCGACGATGTAAATTGGATCATAAACCAGTGAGTGGATTTTCAGTGGGTTCCATTATCAACTATAGATCCATGATGTATATTTTAGGATTGCCAATTTAACTTGGCAATAAAGATGTCCATAGAACTATCCAATTTGTAACTGACACGTTACATTTGTAACGTTTGTTACATGGAACATTTTGTAATATGTTGTCTTTTGGTCCTGTAACCAGTGCACGTAGTCAAAAATATTTTGGAAAATTATCGTGTATTCAAAAGGGATATTCTTTCAAAGAAAAGACGGGGAGACAGAGCAATAAATTAATGTGAGGGCATGGATTTATTTCAGTTAAGGGCAAATTACAAAATAGATAAACTGAAAGTCGCAGAGAAATAATGCACTCTTTCCTGGTCACTATCGTATTTTCAAATCTATGGTGATCTATGACGATTAACATGCATATTTTAATATAATATTTTTGCATTAGGCAGCATTATACTATTGAGGACTTTTTAAGTTTGTAAACGTTGGAAAGACAATAATATCCTCAACCGTTGATATGCATGTCTAGACTGCATGTCTGACGAAGTATGTCAATTTCGTGTTTCACAGGGAGTCAAGGACCGGACTGGAAACAAGCAGTAGTGAATATCACAAATGGATCAAGTGCCTTGGCTTTTATAGCTGTCCGTGGGGGAGGCCCATTTGGCGACATAGCAATAGATGACGTCATACTTGAAAATGGAACTTGTCTAAGAAACACTGACGTAGATATGTTTACGGCGACAAACGCTTTACTTGAACCTTCAATCATTTGGTCTCCTGCATCTTCTGATGTATATACGTATAAGCCCAGCACCGTCTTGGCGACGGATAACTCATATATGACTCAGTTGTCAACGCTTTCGAACATGTTTTCTGCAACTACTGGTGTAGGGTATGCATCCACGCAACAAGTGTTTGCTTCATCCTCAAGTGCAGCAGAAGCACTTTCATCTACTTTGGATACATTTTCTTTGTTATCTGGTGAGACACCTTCGTCTCTTTCTCCTTCTTCTGTTGCTACGATCCTGTTGTCATTGCCTGACCTATCAGTTGTCACCGCAGATGCGACTCTTCATGTACCAGCAGCTTCGCCGGCGACAATAACACCGTCAGCGACAGCATATTCACAGCTAGAAGTCACAACACTGATGGAATTAAATTCAGTTTCCAAACAGATTGAGCAGGTGTCTCGAGTGACACAAGCAATCGACGCAAACCAACCATCTGCGACATCTTCCGTGAATGTGGGAAATAGTCATACGTCACCTTTCCTGACGGTCTCGAATGACGCCAGTAACGTGCTTTATTTCGAAACAACCACAGCAACGACTGATTTGATTTCCTCTACAACAAATAGTGATTCGAATGTCAAAGCAAGTTCAACAACGGAATCAAGACAACGAAACAAAGACAAAAACAAGGGGAAAGAAGGTAATGGCGCAT